TTCTTGTCCATTCTAATCACAGTGAATTGTTTGTGTGTCTTGACTTCCTTGGACCACCAGTCCTGTCGAGTTTGCCCCTGACACAGACTTCCTGTGCCCGGGATCAGGTGTGATGAACTGCCTAGAACAGCTGACATTGACCTTCTCATTGACCATTGGAAACTGAAAGCTCTTTTGTATATGCTTCGTTCTTTTAATTCTTCTGCCTTTCATTCCCTTTCTCTTTTTCCTGTTGTTACTTTTTTTTTTAATCATTATTTTTTTTAATTTTTTTTTCATACCAGAAGAATTCATTCCAAAGCAATTGACATTGAGATGTTTTCACATGCATTTCTAATCTCTATAGGCATGACTATCACTGGTCACAGTCGCCCACCTTCTGAGCTAAAAGTGAATTTCTTGTCCATTCTAATCACAGTGAATTGTTTGTGTGTCTTGACTTCCTTGGACCACCAGTCCTGTCGAGTTTGCCCCTGACACAGACTTCCTGTGCCCGGGATCAGGTGTGATGAACTGCCTAGAACAGCTGACATTGACCTTCCCATTGACCATTGGAAACTGAAAGCTCTTTTGTATATGCTTCGTTCTTTTAATTCTTCTGCCTTTCATTCCCTTTCTCTTTTTCCTGTTGTTACTTTTTAAAAAAAATATTTTTAACACATGATGAGACAAAGAAAGAGGGAGGATAAAAGCAAATTTAGTTCCTTCATTCAACTTTGATTAATGTTGAGAAAAAATGTGCTAATTTCTTTAATTATTGAAAAATTTTTTATTTTGTGCCCACTATGAGGTATAAAATATGCAAAATTCTCCAATTTAAGATATAGATAGATTACATATAGATTTCTCTGCTTAAAATCCTTTTCTCACATTATTAAAAATGCTTAAAAGACAGCTGCCCTTCAACTTCATATATTTTTGGAACAAACTATACAAAAAGACATTTAGCCTTTGTAGTCATTTACCTATTTTCTACATTCAAGTGAACATGAAATAGACTCAGATTTTTTTCAGTGACCATTAAAATATAGCATTAGTGATAGACCATATGAGTAATTCATGAATATATTTAAATTTACATAGCCTGTTACTGTACATCTGGAAAAGGTGTCTCAGTAACACATACATACTTTTGATTATAACGAAAGCTAAGGGAAAAGACATTTGAAACATAAAGATAAGAAATTCTTTTATCAAGCAGAGAGGAGAAACAACTGCACACTCCCAGAAGATTCATAATAACATGTAGAGTAGCAGCTATTGAAGTTTTAATTTGAATGAGGGGAATGAGAAGACATTTCTTCATTGGGTTTAAATTTTAGTTTTTTGGAGAGTGTTTTGCATATTTTTTAAAAATATGACATTTAGCCGGGCGTGGTAGTGAAGGCCTTTAATTCCAGCACTCAGGAGGCAGAGGTAGGTGGATATCTAAGAGTTCAAGGCCAGCCTGGTCTACATAGTGAGTTCGAGGCCAGCTAGGGCTGCAGAGAGAAGCTGTCTCGAAAAGACCAACAACAACAACAAGAAAAAATGGCGTTTAGAATCTTTGGAAATGGGTTACAACAGGGCTATTTTTAGGTCTCATGTGACTTAAGCAGCATTTTGGCTAGTGTTGCAAAACAGGAAAGTATATTTCTTAAACAAGAGCTGCTTATCAAATTCTTATAGAGCAAAATGTATCTATTGCTTTGGTGGTTATATTCTCCTTATAGAATGTTGCCAGCATACTATATGCAATTGTTTTGAAGTCTATCAGATATATTTGAGAGATAAAACTAGATTAATATTCTTCAATGAGAGCCTGTTTCTAACATCACTTTCTGACTGTGTGCATGCATACACATGCATTCTTAGAACAGCAAATTTAAATCTTGCACTCCATTAGAGTCCCCAAGTTGTTTTTTAAGTATTTTATTTATTGTTTTTTATTTTATGTGTATGAGTGTATTGCCTATATGTGTGTGAGTGCACCCGTGTGGTGCAATGCCTGCATAAGTCAGAAGAAGGTGTAAGATCCCCTGGAACTGGAGTTACTGTCATATGGGTGCTGGGAATCAAACCCAGGTCCTCTGCAAGAGCAGCCAGTGCTCAACCACTGAGCCACCTCTCCAGCCCCAGAGTCCCTGAGCTGTAATATGACAAGCTAACTGATTAGAGTTCTATCTCCAGTCTTCCCTCATTTCCTTCTGAAAAACTGAGATTATTGTGAAAAGGTGTCTCAGCATCCCATTTTCAGGTGCAGGAAAAGTAATTTAGGTAACATCTACATAAAATTCCCTTTTTAGCTCTCGATACGCCATGATAAAAGAATGCTGTGCCAAAGGCACTGACAGAGAGTCATCATTTAGGGAAAGTTCGCAGTTGAGCTAATTGGCACACTTCGGCCAAGATGACTGTATTTAAAAAAGAAGTTACGGCCTTTGGTTTGCCTGATACCAACAGTATTATTGCAGCATGTTCTTGACAGGAAATTAATTTCCTGTAATCAAATACTGTGGATTATAGGCTTTGTTCCTCTCTATCTTGGCCAGAGAAGTAACTCCAAGGCATTTTATACAGTATTACAAGTGCTTTTGTAAAACAAGTGGTGACATAATCAACATGGAAGTGGCGACATAATCACCTGCTACATGTTGTAGCTGCAGAATGCAGCACACTGTTCCTTGAGACCCAGAACCATAACTGTATAAGTGACTGTGTGTATAAGAACTTATATGGAGAAGGAAAGTAAAATAATAGTGAAAATTCAACATTTTGCTACAAGAACTCCTATTGAGTCTTGAAAATGGATTTCATATATATATGTCTGTGTGTGTGTGTGTGTGTGTGTGTGTGTGTGTGTGTGTGTGTAGGTGCATGCATACCAGAATGTGTATGTGGAGGTCAGAGGACAATTTTCAGGTTCTGTCTTTTCACCATGAGGGTCCCTGGGATCTAATTCGGATTGTCAGGCTTGATAGCAAGCACCTGCTGAGCCATCTCATCTGTCTTGAAAATGAAATTTCAAAGCAGTATAGCATATGCTTTGGTAAATGATTCTAAGTAATTAATAGGCACTTTTGTAGAAGCATGCACACACAAATGTATATGTACATAAATAAATAGTATGTAGGTATGGAATCTTGAGATTGCTTCTAATTCATTGTGCATAAATCTCAAAGTTAGGCATTTTAACTCATTACATCTGAAAAGTAATCTCTGTAGGATGAAGGAGAAAACTATAGAGATACAGAGAAAGACAAAAGACAAGCTGTAGAGAAAATGGCCTAGGGTCATGGAGAAAGGGGACATTTAAAAATATTTTATTTATTATTTTCATTTTATGTGTATGAGTGCATTGTCTGCATGTATGTAAGTGCATCTATTTTGTGCAATTCATGTGGAGGTCAGAAGAGGGTATCCGATCCCCTGGAAGTGGAGTTACAGACAGTTGTTAGCTACCAACTAAAGCCAACTAACTAGATGCTGGGAACAGAACCCAGGTCCTCTGCAAGAGAGCTTGTGTTCTTAACAGCTGAGTCATTTCTCCAGCCCTGACAATTTCAATTAATCTCCTGTTCTTTTAAAGGTAGAAAACAGTGATACTACTTTAAAGAAAAGGAACTGTCCATTCTTATCACCCTCTTAGCTACTAAATCCCAAGATGTTTTTTTTTTTTTTTTTTTTTTTTTTTTTTTTTTTCTGTGGGTAGTCTCGGTGCCTTCCTTGTCCCTGGAAAAGACATTAAGTACTCTGTAACCCACCACTTGTACCCAAGGAAGGACCTTGCTTTCTTAAGAACAGTGCAAGATTGCAGGACGATTTGTTTTCTCAGCAGTCTTCTATCACTGTCTCTTTTATTATCCTTTATTACACACTAAACTTTGACTCAAAACCAATGTAGAATGTATTTTAAATAGAGAAAGAATATTTTCTTACTTTCAACTCTAAAGCAGGTTTTTTTTTGTTTGTTTGTTTTTTGTTTGATAATTGTTGAAGTTTTTGTTTTTTCGTTTGTTTGTTTTTAAAGGCAGGGACTTGCCATCTAACCCAAGCTGGCTTTTACCAGCCTTGGCCTCTTGACTTCCTGAGTACTGGGATTACAGGCATGTACCAACAGCTAAAGTTTAGCTTTGGCAATCATTTACCCGCTGCTAGTATATACATAAAATACATGTTTATTTATGTAGACAAATGAATTCCCAAAAGAAAAGGAAATGGGTTCTGTTTTTATGTATAAAGATGTAATAAAAATTACACTTTAAAAAGCAGACAGGGTTTTGGAGATGGCTCAGTGATTAAGAGCACGTATTGCTCTTATAAAGGAACTGAGTTCGGTTCTCAGCCCATGTCGGGCAGCTCATAACTACCTGTTACTCAAGATCTTGAGACAGCCAATGCATCTGGTCCCCATGAGCACCAGCACTCACTTGCACACACTCCTACACACATATGCATAACTAAAAATAAAATTTAAAATGCAGACAATTAGACTATTAAAAATGCCTGGATTATTTTATTGTTTGGTGCTGTGTTAATTACAAGACAGAAGGAATGGCAATCACATTCCAAATTTAGCTGTTCTCATTCAGTCTGGAGTTACCTCTAAGTATTCGATAATGGTACCAATTTCCTTCTCAAATGATTTCTTTTAACATGATAGGGTAAGGCTGTTCTGACTTTTATCTGACAAGTTAGGTTTATGACCATAAGTGTCTCACCTAATACCAGCACCATCCTGCAAAGCTAATTGGAGCTAATTTGGGCAGTTGTGCTGTTAATGAAATTGATCTATCACAAGGAAAAAATGTCAGCAAATGTTTTCTTCTCTTGAGCTTTGATCCACAGTCCCTAGATATTAGTGGCACTAAGGCTCAAAATCCTGCGTTTAGTAACCTCGCACTTTTCCTAAAGCAGTGGATGCTGGTCCATCAAGCACTGAGAGAGATGCTAAATGTTAATATGCTCTCCAGCACCCAGGAAACTCAATAATCATTTTGTTCTCTTTCTGTCTCCTACAGCCAACCCCACCAGAGTAGGTGGCCGAGAACCGTATCCAGGCTCCGCAGAGGTCATCCGGGAGTCCAGCAGCACCACCGGCATGGTGGTGGGGATCGTGGCCGCAGCCGCCCTGTGCATCCTCATCCTCCTCTATGCGATGTACAAGTACAGAAACCGGGATGAAGGCTCATACCATGTGGACGAGAGTCGAAACTACATCAGTAACTCAGCACAGTCCAACGGGGCTGTGGTCAAGGAGAAACAACCCAGCAGCGCAAAAAGCGCCAACAAAAATAAGAAAAACAAGGATAAAGAGTATTACGTCTGATCCCAAGATCCGAAAGACACTTGTATAGAAATAGTCTTCATTTTATCTGAGACATAATATAAACTTATTTACTTTCCTTTTTATGAAGCACATACAAAAGAAGACAGGGAATGCGATCAGGAGGGAAAAAAAAACTGTTTTTAAAAAAAATAAACAAGTATCTCATGCTCTTGTTTCTCAAAAAAAAAATACAAAAAAAGGAAAGAAAGAATAAGAAAGGAAGGAAAAATACTAAAAAAATAAAAATAAAAACAAAAAAACAGGGGCCAATAAATTCCCTAACATCCACAGTGTTTTCAGTCACTCTGCCTGTCTTTATGTTGCTGGAACATTTTTAAAGACAGTGATGACCGCTCGCATTCATAAAGCAAAGGAGTATTACAACATCGAGGCACAACACAAAACACAACACACAAAAGAAGCTACCTATGATCCTGGATTCAGCCACAGTGCTAGCGCGACCCTGAGAAGTCAGTTAGTCTGCTTGGCCAGGAGGCATCTGTTTGCGGGACAAACTGCAGACCCTGAAGAGAGTTGGCCAGCTGCTGCAACTGTAGCGGGGGTTGGAACTTGCATTGGAGACAAAGTGCTGGCTTTTTTGAAGACTTGTGTAGGAACACATTCAAAAAGCCCCTTTCTGTTTGTGAGAGGAAAAAAAAGTATGGAGGCCTTATTTTCCAAAATGTGAAATATAAGGCACATTTTCACACTAAAATTTCAAAACAAAAAAATAAGAGGGCATAGATGCAATCATTGGGAAATTTTCATGCACGCTTACTATGTTATTACATATGTTTATATAAAACCCATCTCTGTGTGCTTTCTGGACTGTGATAAGTGACGTTTTATAGCCTGTTGTATAGAAAATGCAAAATATATCTCTGCTCTTCAGCCATTTTTGGTAATTCAATGTTATAAGTGTTGCTAAGTATAGGGAGTTTTATGACATCAGAGCAACAATTATTTCAGTCTGATTTCTTTTGCCACCATTATAAATTGCCACAATTACTTTTTTAAACAAAATTACAGTGTAGTGTTTATTCTAAGAAAGATATGTATGAATGTATATAAAAAGACTCCACCACTTCTTTTCTTACATGTATAGCCTTCCTTCTGTTGCGATTAAGTTTAGTATTTGTATGAAAGGTGTGAATTAGAAGGTAAAATATATACCTAAGTGTCATATAATCCTTTCTCCCCCTAAATACTCATATCTTTTATAAGTTCAACATTGAAGTTCACACACACCACACCACACGCACACACACACACACACACACACACACACACACACACAAGAAGTT